AAAGGGAAAAACTATTTTTTTTGTCTTAGCTAGGTTATTGAGCCTGCAAGCGTTGCTGACTCGATGCAGGCCATCCTGGCAGGTGAGCGGGGCCCACTGAAACCTCAAGTGCTGCTTCAGTAGCCTATTCTGACGTGGAATACTATCAATACCTTGATTTACGCAATCTGCACCCCTTTTAAAAGAATAAAGTTTTTATAAAAACCAGTCTGACATTAGAGAAGAAGCTGAAACAAGACTGGAAAATGAAGCTCTGGAAGGTGATGCTTTTACTCTGCATCAAATGAGGTGCCAACACATGGTGAGTTGTGTTGTTTTTCCCTGATTATGTATCAAGGCTATTCTGAAGTCAAAATACAAAAGATGTTTCTCAACATTTTATTTAGAAAGGGAGACTATAAAGCACGGGGATCATGCCTCAATAAATGTATCTTCTTAGATTTTCTGTATGTGGGTCTTTGTGGCAAGCTTACAAATTTTGTATGGAAGTACGAGAGAAGACAATACAATGTGTTATGAAAAATAATGTAGATAATCTTGCAGAATAAGGAGAAATTAGGACAAATTTGAACAAAAGTGTTGTCCTCAATAGAAAAGCAAGAAGAATGATTAAAACGAAGATTTACTACTTGTGATTTAAGTACCAAAACTTGTTATCCTTAAAGTGAGGTGCAGAGTTCCAGTATGCACGGCCACTAATGTGTTGCTGGTGTGCAGGTGGTCTGTTTGTTCCCTACGGTCGGCTCGCACTGGGAGCAGCGGGTGTTCTGTTGCCTGGTTTCTTACAGTTACTTGACTGCGATCCTAAGATGTAAAAAACCAGGACAACATACAGCTGGGTTAAGAGCATTTCTGTGTGGGGGAGAAAGAGTTGTCAGTTTTTCTGGTGTGTAAAGTGGAGATAAATTAAACGTTAGGTGGTAGGAGAAAAGTGCCATATGCAGGAATTTTAATAAAGAAGCATTGTTTTCAGAGGCTGTACATGTTTGCAAGATGGCAATAACTTATCATCCCCTCTAAATTTCTTCAGTTTCCACCATGTATCACTTTATGCTTAGAAAGCATGTTCCTCATCTGCACCCATAGTACCACTTCCATTTGGGGGCTGAGATGGAGCCTTCTGCAGGCATCCACACAGGCTTTTGTGTTGCGGGATCCTTAGGAGCGCTGTGTGTCATTTGTATGTCATCGGACTTTGATTTGGGATATGTATCTTAGCAGCCAGCTCAAAAAACCTGGTGTAGGTTTGGCAGGACATGCCTTTCTGCCAGCTAAGCAGAAGAGGTTTCTTTGCTTTTGATCCCTCGCATATGTAGGTTGATACATGAATTTGGGATACCTTTGGATGCCATTCCATTTGACTTCACTTGCGACTTCTACTTTTAGCAGCTTCCAGAAAAATAATTATCAGCCTGCTAGGATCTAAGTGACATCACTCAAATATTTTCTGATCTATTTGAGACCATGATGTTACTCTGCAAGTCTTTTATTTTTCTTTTTTTGAGAGGGCCTGTCATGAAGGGCAGAGAGGCAAGTGTAACTGCGCCAAAGAGAAAAATTTCCCAAACTTTTCTTTTTTGTATATATACAGGCAGACAACTTGTCTAATTCAGAACTGTTGCCATCACTGTGAAGTGGCTTGAGCTAGAGAAGCACAGTCCAGCCTCTGGATAAAAGTTGAGGATGGTCAAAAAAGATAAATTCCCCATGCCACCCAAAACCAGGGGGAAATAAATATATGTATCTTTTATATATACATTTATTTCCTTTTATATAAATGGACCTCCTCAGTAGCAATTATTTGTTTAAAGAAAGAAATTACAGTTCTGAAGTTATTGCAACAAGTAGATATTTTGAAAATGGTGTTTCAGTAAAACGATTGTGGCTTTGCTGAAGGGCAGGTTGAAGGCATGGTATAATTAGTTTCATTTTTTTTAAACAGGTTGAAAACTCTTTATCGAAAGTTTCGAGAAGCTTGTAGGGTTAAAATAATTTGGGTGATGCAACTGTTGATGGATTCTTGAATTCTGATCTTGTACTTCTCAAGAGATGCTACCCTGTGTGGGTGCAAAGCTTCGCTCGCAGGTTAAGAATAGAAGAGACATCAATTCTCTACTTCATTGCTATGGTAACTGAAATGTGATCCAGTTTCATCCCATCTAGTGTATCTTCAAAACAAAGTTTCTGAGATGGGCCCTCCATACTGCTTCCATTCCTCTCAAACATTTAACACATAAACCTGCATCTCTTTTTAAAGATTACTTATCCTTTTCCTGGCATAAAAATTACCTGGTGTGTACTTTTCAATCCAAATTTCACAGATTTTTGTCAAGGGAACAAACTGACTTCCAGGATCCCTTTAGAGGTCTTTTTCTCTCATCTCACCTCTGTGCTCCTTGCCACCCCTTCCCCAGTTAGTAAAGTGACTTCACCCACAGGAAGTATAATCTGTACACTCCAAGACTGAGAAAGGAAAATTGAAATTGAAGCATGGTGAATGGGGAATGGCAGAATCGCTGCAAAAGCATGCTCGTGATCCAAGCTAAAACACTCATGCAAATGCACCCTGAGTCGTCCTGCAGCAAAAAAACCCCACGTTTTGCTTTCAGAGTGGACTACTTTGTGGTCTTAACGTAGCATTTAAATACTGCTCCCTTGCTTCAAGGAGATCACATCGGTGGGCACGTGCCAGGGTGTAAGTGGCCCATGGCCTCTGATCAGAAGCTCAGATAACGAAGGGGTTTGGGGGTTCATTTCAGCTCGTGGTTACTGGCTGACTGGCTGCTGATTAGCAGGGAATTGCTTGGTCCTTCACAAGATCCAGTGCTCTGCTACCGGCATGCCAGTGGCCTTAGTAACAAGTAAAGGAGGATAATAAGTTAAGTTTTTGTTTGCAAAACAAACCAACAAGCGAAAAACTGCGAAAGCTTTGAGATTGTCTAAATTTTCTCTGCATCGAACCCCTGCATTTCAAAACTCTACTAAGCCCAAGAAATCATGGATGTATTGTTCAGACACCTAAATTAATCTGACTTTGGCTGTTGGGTTTTTTTTAAGGGGGAGAGGGGCAGGTATTGCAGATGGGAAACTTTATTTTACTTGGAGCAGTGTGTTCCGTACAGCACTCTCGAGCGGCTTTCTGTGTCAGTCACAGCATCATGCAGTACTGTGTTGTGTAAGTACGGCGGTGTGCATGTAAAGTAATCCTCACACCCGGTGGAGATGCTCCTCATCCCGACCGTGTCGGATGAGCAGTGGTTTTGCGGTGGAAGCATAAACCTGGTGTGGGGTCTCTCTCCCCACGTCAGTCACGTGTGCTTCACTAGCTGATACCGAGTGCAACTTCAGACGTTTGCTGTATGCGGGAGCTTGACTTCTGGACTGAAATACTAATGCATTGGTGGGATGTGGTAATAGATTCTGTTGTGGCTATTTATGGCTCTATGAACTCTACTGTTTAGTGTAATTGAGATATCTTGGTTAATTTCCATAAATGTTTTCTCTGTGAAAACCCTCAAACGGCATGAAGACGTTTGCATAGCTATGATTATTTTATTTGGTTGATCATGTCAAATTAGCTGCGACTAGGGAATTCCCTATTAGTTTTGGCATAGATTGGGTCATTTTGTTCTGCTGTTTCTATGGGAATGTTTTATGTGTTTCTTCTCACCCTAGCTATTAATATGCTGCAGTAAGGTATTGAAACCTACTGCAATCTGGTTTTAGTAATACGGAGAAGGTACAGGAAAGGACTAAATATTTTTGCACTTGGTGGCTGAAGCCCATGGTGGATTCTCGTAACTGTGGGCTCCGATTCGTACAGGTATAGGCTGTAGCTGTGCTTCAGTAGCAGCTAGCCCACCCATGAGGCATGTGCCTTCGTGTTTTGAGTCTTGAGTGGTCTTACAATCTCACCGCAGATGAGAGATCCCTTTAAAAATGGGACTGAGTGGGCTTTAAGATGATGGGAAGCTTTTAATTGAACTCAAGTAGTTTTCTGAGCTGTTACACTGTATTTTGTGTGACGCACCCTAAATTGAGATACTCCCGATGTGCTTAGTGGCCGTTGTTTCGTTTCAAATACAGGATTTGGGTATACAGTGACTGCACACTGCATGGTTGGCTCTGTGCAAGCTCCCTGTCTCTGGCCTAAGAAATGAAGATAGGGCTTTTTCTTCTGTTCCTTTAGGTGCAATGCTTAGCTGCAGTCAGGCAACCAAAGCAGCTTTAATTAGGAAGTCCATATTGCCTCCAATTTTCCATTTGCGTGCTACATTAATAAAAAATGGAGCTATGACTGAGAAAGGGGAGGCAGAGGTTAAGCCATTCCTGCCTTCTGTCTCATGGCACAGGAGTCAGTGTCCCTAATCTGGCATCCTGCCTTGCTGTCACGTTGCGCCCCCTCAGCTCACACGCTACAACCACGCAGGCTGGAAGTTATCTCGGCATACGGCGTTCAGTAAAGATACGTCTGTGCCCGGCCCTGATCAAACTCAGCGTTGTGCCGAACATCACCATCACTGCAGATAGTGACCTAAGTTCCTATGGCGTGCACATCAGCAGTTTTGTGAGTCGGTGGTGTCAGAGGCTATGCTAATGCTCTTTGATCCTTTATTCTTGCTTTGAACGATTAAACCTCAAATCTGGTCTGTCACATTGCGATTTAAGTAGAGACATAGGCAGAAGTTACTTTATGTAATTTTGCAAATATTAATAAACATGAGATGTAATAAGGTTATTTACAAATGTTTTGTTGGCCGAAATGTGAGGAATGGTCATCAGTGCTGGTCTAATGATCTGCTGTAGATCCTCCAAGTGAAAACGAAGGACAGTGTTACCAGTGTCTTGGTTAACCTGGGGATTTGGACTCTGCTTTTTGGCTCTGTGAAAACATCTTGCAGTGTATGAAATATGGACAGTTAACTCCTACATTTATGGCACACGTTGTTTTTGCCATTCCAGTGACTCTCGGTTAGATGCTTTCTTTACCTTCTTTTCAGAAAAGACGACGGCGGATTGACCGAAGCATGATTGGGGAGCCGACAAACTTTGTTCACACAGCTCATGTAGGATCAGGAGACCTGTTCAGTGGAATGAATTCGGTAAGCGTGAGCAGATGAAGAATATTTCATCTTACACGTATGCAGTGTTCATGTATTCTGTCTGTGATGCTCAAGCATTGAGTCTTTCAGCTATAAGAAAGGAACGCTATAAAACTGAAGAACAGCCTGCTAGTGTATAAATTCCAACACCTGCATTTAAGATTATGGACTATCATTTTAAAAATTCCTATTTGTTTGACAAAACATAGTAGATTCTGTATAAATTGTACAGGCCGTGTGTAGAATACTAAAAATAAATTGTTCTGATGGCACGTATGAGATATATTTGAAAATATACTGGAGTATTTTGGAGAAAAATTTTAATCTACTAGATTTCTTACCTTAAATGCTTTAAGCTATTTTGAGGTAAAACTCTAACTTACCCTGTCTTAAGGTGCACACAAATATTTTTGGGTGTCATTGTTGAGGTTTTTCTATATTCTGTAGCCCTGTTGTGAATTATTTCTAGAGCAAGCACTGTTGTCACAGGCAAGGTTTTGTGGCTTCCTGTAGGCAGCAATACATATTTTTATCTCTCTGAAAGTGAAAAACCGAGGCTAGGACAGATACTGAAAATCAGCTTATGAAGATAAATTTTCTTTGTACAGCTTTGTATTTATGTGAAATGTCAAGCTGTTTTTAAGGTCAATAATAGGCAATCTGGAAAAGGGTGGTATGTAGATAAGGACAAAAAATGCTTCTTGACCTCAATCCTCTTTAAAGGAAAAAAATGTTTTGAGATGAAAATGAAAAGTACTTCTTGACAAAGGAGAAGGAAGAGTTCTGTCAGAGGTATCAGAATAGAGAGCAGAGCTGTGAAGGAAAGAGGCAGTTTTAATGTAGGCAAGTGAGGTGATTTGTAGTTTCAAGTAGCTTATTGAGATCAGACAGAAACTTGCATAACACAGTACAAATTGGGGAAGGGCAAAGCTAGAACATCTGACATGACAGTGTACTACATTTTCCCAGAAACAGCATCATGGATTGGAAGTAATTTGTACTAGAACGTCTGTAAGCAAGTTAAATGGACAAACACAGCTTCAACTTGAAAAAATTCAGTTAACGCTAATTACTTATTTAACGCAACATATTACATTATTATTTCAAATTATAATGGCTTTAAATATTAAAACAAGTGGGTTTCTTCTTTTTCTTTTTTTTTTAACCATGTTTTTTTGCTGCTTAAATGTTTGTTGCCGTCCTGTGAGAACCTTCCTCCTTCTCACAGCAGAGCTGCTGCACGTGAGGTTTGTGGTGATCGCCTGAAGCTTTGCTCTGTCACTTCAGACATAACCCCTGCTTGTCCTCACGTTCACCTCCTACCTGAAGATGAATTGGATATTATGCAAAGCAGTCCTTGTCTCTCTCCATAGATGTTTTCATTTTGAATGCTCATAACTGACTATCTCTTCCCCTCACTTTTTTAATTTGAATAGTGTGCTGCGGCAGTGGCCAGAGTGATTTTTCTAATCGCAGATAGAAAGCATCGTTATGCAAAAAATAATCCTTTTTTCCCCTCTCTCTCCTCAGAAGCACAAATCTCTACTTTTTGACATTGATTGTTTTTCTGCCTCTTCTGTGGTGACTTACTGCAGTAATGTTGCATCCAGTCTCTGTGTCCATTTTTTTTCAGCGTAAGTTCCAAGACTGCAGTGTTCACATCCATATTTTTCTGCTGCTTCATTTCCTTTACAGTATAGATGTTATACTCCTTTGTGAACTTCCTCCTGCTTTCTCTCTTCTGGATACCTTAGGGGGATCTCCTGCAAATTCATATAAATTTGGTTCTTTATCCACTCTCTGCTCTGTGCCCTTTATCAGCATCATTCTTCGTTACATATCCTTACGATTCTGAGTACAATAGATTTCTGTCTGCTGAAATATTTTGCTTTTTTTGTTTGCCTTCTCTGTAGAGTGCCTAGCTTCTCTGTCAAAGGCGCGCTCAATAGTAGGAGCCCTCTCTGCCCTGTTTCTTTCTCATTCCCATTGCTTTCTTATTTTACCTCCATATTGCATGGTGAAATCTCTCACTTCCTTCTGCTTCATGTTCCTCAGTTTTTAGTCTTTGGTTCTATGTATTCTGTCCTTTTCCTAGTTTTCCCTTGTTTTCTTTCTTCAAGGACCATCTGTGCTATTTCCAGTTCTAAAAGGAAGGGAAAGAAAAGGGGAGAAGGAATTTAATGAGATAGATAAGCAGCACAACAGATTGTGTGATCTTTAATTGGTGCAATCCTCTTCCCCTTCCAAAATCTTTCAACCTTTACCGTATCTAAATTGGACATAAGAGAGAACAACCTCGCTGTCGCATATCGTCAGAGGCAGGCAACGGCGTCTTTGGGAAAGGAAGAAATAATTGCGTTTCACGGTGCTTGTTGTTGTAGCTCAGACTGCCTCAAAAGGAGGTGCTGCAGAAAGAATACCAGTGTATAAGCCTACAGTTGTTAGACCTACTTTTTGCTCAGTGTTTTTAACACTGTGTACCCACAACAGAAGTCTTCATATACCAAATAACCACCGAACTGTTAATGCAGTCTTAGTTCAGTGTGCTGGATGCTGTTCGCTTTAGGTGTAACAGCATTTTAAACTGATACTTCCTTACCTGCTAATGCATCGGTGTGTGTGACTCAAGTACTAGGGAAATTATTCTAACCTTTAGAAGAAGTACTCACAAAAATTTACACTTTAGCTTTGCAATCTGTGTTGATTTCCTGTTCTGCAAAATTTTGAAGTCACGTAGGCAGCTGTTAGGCTGGAAGGGGACACGGCCTGGAGATGTTTTTCTAGCTCTTTTTCACTAGAGGCGGGGTTCATTGAGATGAAATTAATGCCATCCTCAAGTCATTCTTGTGAATACATTTACATGTAGATTAATTATTTTCTGAGGAAAAAAACCCCTAAACTCCTCTGGTTCTAATGAGCAACAGAAGAGGCTTGATGATGATGATGACGACCAGCTTGGTGAAATGTGAGGGCTTGTAAACACCACCCCGTGAATGTTGTTGTGCTTCTCCACACCTCCTTACTGAGCTTGTCGTATCTGATGTCAGACCCACTGGAGTATTGGCCCTGAACACATTTCCCTGGAGAAAAAGGTGATCATAACATGGCATTGCTGCAGCTGTATCGCTTGAGTGAAGCGTCAAGGTACAAGATGGTTAAATTTTAAATACATAAAAATCAGTTCTTCTGCACAGCACTGCACTGTGCCATACCGTTGGACACACAGATCCTGAAACAGGCTCTTTGTTTTTTCACATTCATTCGAGAAACAGTGTGCAAAGAAGAGTTGTGCCAATTCATTTTGCATGTGTGCGCGTGTGTTTTGCTTTGCTGTGGAAAAGAATGTATTTCTTTTGTCTGTCAACAGGGAAGATACTGTGGAAGCTACTTGGAAATAATTCTCCAGTGCTGTTTTAATATAGCTTTCTGGTGGTATTTTGAGGTCTCCATGAAGGAGCATACATGTAAAAATTGCAAGTGGTACCCTGCAGGCGTAGGTTTTGCTGCAACTTCAAATTCAGAAGCTGTAGCCTTGAGGGAGTGTGTAATTCTGTGTTCCTTGTGTACTTGTTGTGTAAGCTCTGGGCTGCAGAGAGAAGAAAGGGCAAACCTTTAAGGTTGGCATTGCCTTCCTGCAGGCAGTTGGATGTGACTCTTTTGAATTATGCCACACAAGCAGGAAAGAACTATGGATGCCTTTCCTTTTTGTTACAAAGGCAATGAAAGCCATGGAGGGATATGCATGTCTTTGTGTGTGTGTGTGTTTCTTTATGTATTTGAATCAGGCTGAAAATACCTTCAAATAAGCTATTTCCAGGGAAGTTGATAGATTGTGTATGATTTAATAAATGCCCTGCCATAGAAAGGAATCGTAGCAATTAAGGAAAGCAGTGTATGCTGTTACGTAAATAGATAAATATAAAACCTTCCACAAAGCCAAAGCTCCTTTTTGGTTTAGAAAGTCCTCTTGGTGTTTTTTTAATTATCTGAAGCTCGCTGTACGGTTTAGATACTATCCAGTTATTTTGTAAGTTGTCTATTATATTTTTGACATAATCGTCTCAACTTCTCTGGTTTACCATACCTGGCAAAGAGCATTTTCCAAGTAACAAGGCAAATTGTATCTTGTCAGGTAGAGTGGAGTTGGATACCAGTAAGAGGTTTTTTGGTTTTTTTTTTTGAGTGATCAAGCAGGTCAGTGAAAGCCTGAATCAGCCTTTTTTCTCCATGAGAGAGGAAAAACTTGTGCCTCGGCACCAGTTCCTTCACCTCTCCTGCTGAGCTGCCTGCAGAAGTGAAAATTCCAACAAGCTTATACTGTACATGTCCTCATGCAAAAGTAATTTCGCTTTAATGGTGAAGGAAAACTTGAAAACCAAAACCTCCACAGGAAGCAAAACCAGGAGCAAGAACACGTCAGAGCTCACTAACTGCCCCTCTTCCCCATCTGTCTCTAGGTCAGCTCCATTCAGAACCAGATGCAGTCCAAGGGAGGCTATGGAGGCGGCATGTCTGCGAGTGTTCAGATGCAGCTCGTAGATACAAAGGCAGGATAACCTTGGGGAAACCTCTGCAGTAAGTATTGCACTCTGCTTTTTAGGCACGGTTAGAATAGTAGGAAGAACAGTCATATGGGGTACTTCATAATTAGCTCCCTATGAATGTCTGTATGACGCCCAATTTTAAAATCCATTTATGAGTAAAAAATCCAGTGCCATGTAAGCATGTTAATTTTTTTACACAATGAACAAGAGATTGTCCTGATGACATTAGTCTGTCTGTAAGCCTGTTTTATACCCAAGATTGTAGGCAAATCTTTGCAAGTGAAGTTGTTGTATAACAAATTTTAGAAAGAAAATCTGTGATATGATTAAGGTACCGTTTTTGTAACAGCTCCATCCTTTTAAACGTAATATGCATGATGTTAAATCATTGAACAGCAATTTTACAATAGGAAAATGGTCACTCAGAACGTTCAAAACCTGGTTTAATGTGCGTTTTCTGTCTTCCAGGTTTATGTGACTTTCCGTCTTCTTTCCTGTGTCCCCTCCTTTTGAAGTGATGAGCTCACTGTTCACCCTTTGTGATTACTCCAGTGAAAAGTCGCTGTTCTGCTCTGATGATGCCATTTATCAGATTGGTCCGACCGTGCCTTTCGGTGGCATGCAGACATTGGCCTCTACCAGTATCATGGGCATAGAACTGTTTCAGGATTGATTTTAGCTTTTTGTTTGTTTTAAGGCAAATTAAAGCACCAACCTTACCTTCTCTCGTCTTGTAGGTGTTTTCCATCCTTAATGATGTGTGATTCTGTGATTCACAAATACTAATGGGCAACATTCTGTTGCTTTTAATCTTTCCATCCTTTCTCCACTCAAGTAATTCAGAAATGAGTGAGTTTCCATTAATGTCTTTGATCATCTGTTGTCCATACCCATTTTTTAAAGGTCTGGGACTTGCAAGCACAAACAATTGTTTCACACAAAATCAGCAGAGTAGATGACCGCATGCTTTGTGAGGTTGCTGTGTATGGTGGCCTGCTTGGTGCTAGAAGAAAGAAATAAATGCTTACTGCAGACTGGTGAAAAATTTTGCTGTGGCACCAAGTCATGCCTGTTTCAGAAAAAGGACTTGTAACTTAGCTGCTTCAAAGTTATGTCTTTTTATTTTTTATCCAGCTGGTCTTGAAATAAGAAAGAGAGAGCTTGAATTCATGAGGCATTTGTTGTAAATGTTCAGTATATTTATTTTGAAAGAGCTGACCTTGAGACTGTAAACCAGTGTAGTACCGTAACTAAATGTTGTGGAAGCGCTTTAGTCTGTTTAAAAGAGAAAAACATCATGTTTGGCTGCTTCTTTTTCTTTCTACCGTTTTTCTTAATTTTGGGCTGTATGATCATTTCCAGTAGCAGCATGTCAGAGTGCCTGCAATAGTAGCTGAAGAGTTTAGTAGCCCTCTCTAAGTAGTTGGCAGTGTCTGTGTACTAAATATTTAGGGGCCATGGAAGTTGCTGAGAGCAACATACTAATCTGGCAGAACAGATGCCAATGAAAACAGCGTACAGGGTGACTTCTTCCTAAGTCAGTAAAACGCCTTTTGCTCAGGTTCCAAAGCATGTTTCTTTCACACGTTGTGAAATTGTATTTTAATATTGCACTGGTTTCAGTGGATTGTGGCTGTAAATGGTCCCTTTTTTCCTTCTTTGGTGGTGGTTTGAGAGAAGGCAGTGATTTGAGTCGTGGTTCAGTAAAAAAAAATTATGCGGGGGGAAAACCCTCCCCTGAACAAATAAGGCAAAACTGAGCCTAATCAGATCCATTTTTAAACGTGCATGTGTTCATAAATATAGGTTGCTGTCATAAATGACTCTTTATTGGTTTTCCATCCTTTCCCTGGTTTCACACTGCAATATGTTGATTTAAACACGTATGAACCTCCCTACTCTTCTCGCTCCGTTCACAAACAAGGCATAGAACACCATGGAGATAGTTTGCCTTCCCCGAGTTGTATCCCACCAGTAAATGTTAATTATCTGGTTGAATAGTTCGAATTAGGTTGGATAGTCTTCACTGATAAAGGTACTGATTCATGATGACAGAAGATCAAGATGTGCAATTGTCTGGTTGCATAAACACACGGCAGTGCAGTGATGTGTTTGTTTTAGGGGCAACATTTCCAATGCCACTTTATCAGGAGTCTTAAATATACTGTGATTACAAAACTATTTGAGCTTTGTCATTGGTAAAAGCGGCTTAAATTTACTTGCCAAACCTATCTTGCACTTGTCAAAATGTTTTCAGCTCAATAGCCAGAAAAAAAAAATTGACATATTTTTATAACAGACATAGCTTTTTTGTACATTGTGTTCATTCTTGAATAAAGTCAGTTCAGTGTTGGCTTGTAGATATTGAAAGGAAAGTATTGACTTTGATTAAATAAATGTTTTCTTTCAGTTGGTGGCCTACCCTTTTCTTTTTTTCTTAAGTTACATTTGCATTGGAAAACCACTTGCAGCCTATGGACAAATCTGTGGTGAAAATTCCCTGAAGAGTAGCCTGTTAGTGTCAATAAGTAATTTGCAGGATTGAGTTTTTTCCGTGCCACTTGACCCTTTTGTTGCCAAGGGGATTAAACCGTAATTTTACTGGCAGTTCTGTTGCACCGATTTAGTGTGTGTACCAAGGCCTTCTCCAAGGACCTTGAAGGGAAGCTTAAGAAAATACACTGGAAACCTTCATATACAGGATTTCTTTCCTTTTGACTGTAACTGGTATGTGTGTTACTTTCTTGGTTGTGATGCAGATTACTGTGGTGATCAGTAGAAGACTTAACTGTACAACTAATCATCGTAATATGCACATCTGCATTAAATATACCTGCAAGGCACAAGATCGTCTACTCTCTATTTGGCTCAATTTTTCTATCTGACACTCAAAGTTAATTCCTTCACTAATTTACTGCTTTAAACTTCATGCTAAATTGTTTTACAGACTGATAACAAATTCCTTATAGCTTGTGGCAAGTTCCTGAAATTGCTGGTTGAGGAAAAAAGATAGTTCTGAAGGGAAAGATCAAGACAAAGCCACGAGATATTAGTCAACTAGAGGTTTCTTTTCTTTAATTGTTGAGGCTATAGAAGCTTAGTACCGTCTACAAAGGTGTCTTGAAGAGCAGATGTTTTAATATGACCGCCTATAAAAATAAAGGGGTTTGAGCTTTTAAAGAAGGAGCCTGTTTACACTTAGTCTGCTCAGCTGCCTAGAGCAGTTGTATGAGTCAGTTCACCCCTTTTGCACCTTTTTTTAAGTGAACAGATGCTGCATGAGCAGCCAAGTCTCTGGGCACAGTCTTGGTCCCAAGTAGCACTGTACTCAGCCATTATCTGATATGCCACAAGAAAACCCCCACCTTTCAGATCCAGAAAAAAGTTGTTAGGAAATCTTGCCCTGTCAACATAATGACGCCTTCCTAGCAAGGACAGCACATGCTTCCTCACAGCACAGTTACTCTGATTTCAGTAGTCTGTATCTCTCTTTTTTTGGAGGAGGAGGGGGGAGAGTCAATTAAATAGAGCATTGATTTTCAAATTCCCCTTCCTTGTTTCATATCCCTTTTTCTACGGTCACAGCTAATCCCAGAAGGCAGTGCACATGTTACTATTATTGTATGCACTAATTAACATTTTCCTATTCTTTAGAAACAGTTGTTAACCTGATAGAATGATGGAGTCTGGACTACATTTCAGATTTAGTGCTATAATGCAACTCCACGAGCACAAACAGGTACATGAGGACACAAAACGCTTTCAGACTATAAGGTGTTTGTTACAGGCTCAGTGTCTGGGATGAGAACTTGAGTCTTCTTCTGTGTGTTAAGTGCATAAAAACATGCTGGTTGCAACAGGCTACAACTTCCCTATAAAACTATCCTATTCTAATGCTAAAAAGACGTAAAAGTGATAATCAGTATACATAGCGCTGCCTTATTTCTGCAGAAGTTCACGTGCCTGAGGCATGCCACAGGAAGGTGAAGAGACGCAGAGAGGGGGTTGCCAAGCAGTGAACAAGATTCCCCAGAATAAGACACGATGAAAACTTAACCATTTCTGTGCATAGGAACAGCCACAGGTAAACTCTAAATGTTTCAGTGTTGGCTGTTGGGGGATTAGGAGTGACCTCTGCCCGTAGTTTACTTTCACTACTCATGGCATGAAGCAAAGTGCTCATGCGTGTGCACCTCATCACTTAATTTATAGCTGATTTAATAATGTACACTAATCAATAAATAAGTAGACAAATATTTAATTGTACTTGGCATCCTGAATAATAATGATGTAGCCCTGACTACATACAGTGACTGTGACATTAAACCTTATTGAAGATGATGTCCTGGCTCTGCCAGGGGTTAGCAGAAGCCGTTAAAACTTAGCACACCATCAAAGCTGTTGAGACTGGTCCCATCTACACTCCCACAGCCCGTGCTGGCACTGACACCGAGCTGACTGCCCCACTGACTACTGGGTACTGACCTGTAGTAAAGGTGGTGGTTTTGCCCCAGTTGGTTGGTTTTAACCTCGATCAGTTACTTAATGCTTATCCACCATCTGTGTGGGATCAGAAATAATCTGTTACAGGGAACACCAACAGCTTAACCTGGCTGTGGAAAAGCACGCAGCTTTCTGAATTTAAAAAAAAAAAAAAAACAAACAAACAAAAAAAAACAACACACAGAAGGTTCAGCCTAGTGACAAACTTATCCACAGCTGGGGCTGTGAATGTGTCTACTGAAAACCTATTTCCACTTTTTGGGAGCTCTGTTTCCATGTATTGAGCTCATCAGCTTTGCCCAGGTTATTCTGCTTGGTTTGGGGGCCAAATGGTCAACTCCATCGTCACCAAGAGTTGGCCAACCGCAGGCAGTGTGATTCACTTCAGTGCTGGCTCTGTCCGTCACTAGAGGACATGGCTTTCTGCCTTCGCACAAGCGAGCTGCAGCGATGAGTTCAGACTTCAGGCAGGTTTCCTAGTCAGCCCAGGAAACACAAGTGCTGGTGGAGTTGGCAGTAATTTCCTGAATGCCAAGCTTGCATCTGTAAATATGATGCAGAAAGGTACAACCACATTTATGAATGATGGAGCAGTCATGCAAAAGGCACTTTCATTCATTATGACAGAGCTACTTAAGCATTTGTGGGAGCTTTCCATGGCATGGATTCTGTACAGCCAAGTTTTCTTTTCAAAATCTTGATGACTTGTTCTTAGACTCCAGGTGGTAATGCAGCCTATTAGCAGAAAAATGAAGGTAGAGTGTTACGCATGGTTTAGCAGGTCTTAAAGTGGATGCTTCACCTTTGGACTTGGCTTGTAGTAGGAAATGCTGGGACACGGGCAGAGGAGGTCTGGGGATTGAATAGGTAACACTGATGTCAGCTTACTCTGATTTTCATAGAATCACAGAACGG